CGTGCTGGCTGGGGAATTCTGGGAGTTGAAGTCCACACATCTTCAAGTGGCCAAGGTTGAGAAACATTGCATTAGACACACTTTTGCAATTCGCCATCACGCTTTCGGGGCCAAGAAATTACACAGCTCGCTTCTTAACATTCCTCCAAAAGCAGGAGCAATTCTCCAAGCAATTCTCCCGTTTCTCAAGGACAACAATTCCTCTTGCCCACCCCATCATTAAATAAATTGCAAGAACCCGACATGCTGCACCCGGGAGAACTTCTCCAACATCATCATCTTCTTCGGGGGGGGGGGGAAGAAGCCCGTTCTTTCCCCCCCCAACTGAATGAGAACAGCAGGGAAAAACGCAAAATTTCCGAAGCTATTTTGTTCAAGCCCTTCTAAACAGTCCCCCTAAGAACTGAATTTGGGGTTGGGGGGGAACCGCTGCTTTTCCTAGCTGAAGTTCACTGACCTCTCAAGTATATTTGGTCAACATTGATACGATGCAACTTGGTGCAGGCTGTCGGTGGGTTCACACACGACGCCGGGATAAAACTCGGTGGAGTTTTGCTGTGCTGGCATTTGGAGAATCTCTAGGAGTCAATACTGGTCTTAACATCAAGGGTTTGACTCATCATCCTGTTCTTCCTGTTTTTAACCCGACTAATAGAGGTGAATATGTGTGGCTCAGGGTTGAACTCTCTCTGAGCTTGGTTCTTTTCTTGCAGACGTTTCATTACCCGGCTAGGTAACACCTTCAGTGCCACTAGCCCGGTAATGAAACGTTTGCAAGAAAAGAGCCAAGCTCAGAGAACCCCACGGACTCCACACTTTAACCAGACTCGCAAGAACTGGAATCCGGAGGGCCACAGACGGAAGACAGAACTCCGCACGGGATCCTAAACACCCCAATGAAGGGGGAAATACTCTGGTTTGAATCCCCGGAGAGCCGCTGCAAGTCCGATTCTGGGACTTTGCGCTGCGCCAAGCCTTTTCAGCGCTCCGCTGCACCGAGACTCTCGGCGTGCTCGCTTCTCCAGC